GCCGCGGTGCGTGTACCGGCATTTGTGTGCCTATGTGTGTGTGTAGTTGCATGTAACAGTGCGAGTGCTGTGTGACTGTGTAGCATTTGCATGTGCGCAGTATTGTTAGGGTGCATCATTCAGGACTCCAGTCATTCTTATTCGTTTTGCATGGGGCCTTTAGCTCGACGCTGCAGGCTGGATGGTGTGTGTGTGTGTGCGATGAATGCAGCACAAATGCAAATGCTCCACAGTTTTTGTTTCCACGTTTTTTTTTGGTCCGGCTTGAAAAGTGTTGCCGTACTTTGTAGATGGGAGGCGAAGGCGTGAAGGTGTTGTAAGCTACAGGGAGAAGACTAGTCCTATAAAGTGTGTCGTTCCACCTGCCATGAATCAGAGATTACAGGTTTGATCACGTGCACGTCAAATATTTCCACTGAGATGTTACAAATAATAATTCAGAGGCGAGGCTTGTAGAGAATAAAATTAAATTGTACAATAGTTAAAACCAGGACAACACACATTACGACAGTTTTCTTTTGTTTCTAAGTGCAGTCTGTGGAGCGCAGGGAGGTTCGTCTCCCTCTCCTTCTTCTACACAGTCTCAAATCACGGAGAACATGACACATTCATTCATTCATTCATCTCGTATTGCGCCGAGATTTAGTGGAACGCGACATTGTACATCTGGAATATTCTGCCGATGGCAACAAATCTCCACCTTTGGCCGCATTGATCAGCGCCCTGCGACGGTTACCCAACTTTAAACTGAAATGCTAACTCACTAATTTAATGAGTATCTGATGGGGAATCACACACGTTTCTGCCACTCGGCCCTCGGGCGCGTCTGTAAATGTGTCACTGTGTTCCCGTTAATGGCTCCGACATGGGACCCAGTCGATAATCGCTGTGTTCACGTAAAAATCCATGCGGCCCATTAGTGATGTACACAGAGGTGAGTGACCATCGGCTATAGGAAGAGAGAGCGAGTAGACAAAATGCTTCTGGGTTGATGGACGGCAACCGACGAAAGAGAAAGACGACCTTTTCAGAAACTCCTGAGTGTGTGTGTGTGTGTGTGTGTGTGTGTGTCTACGGCGCTTGTCAGTCCTCGTTTCCCTTAATGTTGAGCTTGAGACGGTGTTTACTGCCGGTGAAGGTAAAAACGTGGGTTCTCTCCGCTGACCGCCATCTTATTCTCTTTTGTTCTCCTCGCCCAGGCCCTCACACGCAAACACACAAACACGCAAACACACCCCGCTGTGCGTGACGCTGACAGTCACTGACAGCCATATAAATAATCTATAGCTTGAGACTCCTGCTGCGGCGCGCATTTCCACCGAAAACCTCCTTCCGAGAGACCCTCCGTCGTCACGTTGATGCGCGTGCATGGCAGCGTGAATCCACGCACGCGCCTCCGTCACGCCCAGCAGGCCTCCGATGGCCGGTGGTGGGTGAAGTGACGCAGGAGGGTCTTAATTCACGCCGCGCGTAACAAAAGACAAACAGCACCCTCTCAAAGGGCTGAAGTGAATGTCAGAGCCCGACGTCGGCATCGTGGTGCATTCCTATTCGTCCATTCCGACGCAAGGCCCACAGACGCTCTACACACTTTAATCCACGCTCACGTTTGAACTGGAGGCCTCCACGCGGCAGTCGACGAACCAGTGGGCGGCGCCCCGTCCATTCATCTTATTCAGCCTGTGCAGGAGCACGTGATAGATTAAAATGTAATAAATTCGATTTAACGGTAATTAGGGATGAAGAGCTTTTTGTCCCCCTCAACACTCGAAACACCAGCAGGTTTTGCGACTAATTGCACATCATTAAATTTGATTGGTTGAAAAAGTAAATGGAATATATTAACGTGAGCTAATTAATGCTTTGGGACTGTGAACTGTCATGAACTGACCCCGCGAGGTGTGACCCACTACAACACCGAGCCCACTGAGTGTAAAAGCCTCACAAACAGCACGCCTCTTTGCCGCCGCCGGTTCCTTTGACTCTTCGATTATTGGAAAGCGTTATTGAGCTTTGGGAATCGACCCATGTGTGTTTCCTCTTCACAGCCACTCAGTGGAGGTACGACGGTCCGAGTCGTGAAGTGTGCGCTCGTCTCTCCGCTCACAAGCGCTGCTGCCTGCCCGAGCTGTTCAATGGTGGCAGTTTGACGGGTGGCGTCACGGGCGGGAATGACGGGGGGGGAGGGGGGACACAGGTGGAGAGAAAGGAGAGACAAATAAAGAAGAGAAAAAAAAATGAGGAGAAGGAGAGACGGAGTAGCTCTCCGCTCGAGCAAGCGATGCCTCGTTGCCATGGCAGCACCGTCTCTCCGGTCTCCGTGGGAACGGCTGAATCCTGTTGCAGCTCGACTTTGCCCCCGGGCGAGAGAGAGAGAGGGAGAGAGAGGGAGGGAGAGAGAGGGAGGGAGGGAAAAAAAGGGAGACGAGAAACAGTAACAGAACGGCGAGATTAGCCCGCAGCGATTGGACTGACCTGGAAACCGTTGGGCGTGTGCTCGTTTCCTCTCTCTCTCTCTCTCTCACCGTCCCAATTTTATTCCATCACTTCATCTCTGTCCCTCACCTTTCCTTGTCAATAGACTTCTAGGGTGTCTGTCAGACAGTTAAAAGTCCTTATTCTCTCTCTTCTGATAAGCGTGTGTGTGTGTGTGTGCTCATCCATGCACCCCCCCCCCCCCCCTCCCTTTTGTTTATCTGTGGTGTGTGTGTTTGTTTGCGACCTGCCTGCAGCCTATTCACAGGGCATAAGTAGCCCGATTAACGGGACGACTTGCCAAGAAAACAGATGATCCCCTCTGACAGAGGTCCCACTGTTGCCATCGCCGGCGAACAATGAGGCCTTGTGTGAGCGCACACAGTGGTCGAACCCCCCGCCCAACCCCCCCGGTTTCAGCCGCCGGTCACCACTCTGTCAGGGGACGGGGATGAGCGCTCGCCGGGCCATGTGGCCCACGTGGGATTTGTGAGGACGTGGGTGGCGACCGTGTTCAAAGCCTTTGGTTTTATATCAACCAGCCTGACATCTCCTATCTGCTTTTGCGTGACGAGAGCATGTTTGGCGGGAAAACGTCACAACCTGAAATCCTAAAAGTAAAACGTTCTGTTTGTGAAGGCTTCAAGTGGCTTAGAAATAGACCTTCATTAATGACGAGCAAAAGCAACAAGAAACGCTTTTGTTTACAGCACAAATCTAATTCTAATTCATGTCCCATTCAGTCCGATATCGGATGCGATGATGGTGACGATGATTAGTCGACATGTTTAACCATTCGGGACAAGAGGAAGCGTTCGCTGTTAGTGAAGAGTCTCAAGTGAGTTCATGACTTCCAGCAGGGATTAGTTGAGCATCTACTTTGAGTCTGTACTTTATTTACTCCGTGTTGTAGTTTAAATCCCGGGTGGCGTGCTGAGGTCACACGGCTACATGACGCCGACGGTTACGACAACCCCGTCGCATGACAGCCAACACACACACACACAGAGACAAACACTGTGGGTTTGTTTAAGTGTGTGTGTCCGCAGACCATGGCTTCATGTGTGTGTGTGTGTGTGTGTGTGTGTGTGTGGGATCATCTCATCTGGATGTCACTCATCACAACCCTTTTCACAGCAAATGTTTATCCCCTCCTTTACACCTGTGTGAGATTAAATCTGGTGGCTAATCTTAATTCCGTTTTAATCTGAGACTATTCTGCAGACGTCACGATCTGACGTCAGGATTTAATACTTTGCCGGTAAAAAGCACCGGCCCGCTGATAGATTACCCAATTCTCTCATGCTAAATCAAATCCCACAATCCACAAATACATAAGCTCTGCCTGCTTTTGCTTGTCTGTGATATTAGTTCAATTCCTTCCATTGAGCCGGGCTGCACTGACCTTTCAGCGCTGCAATAATCAAATACCCGGCAGTGCGTGTCGGAGGTCTGTCGCTCATCGCAGCTTGTTGTTCTTTCGCGGGATTAATACTTGATCTGCCGGAAGTGTTTCGCTCCCACAGCTCCGACTCCTCCACTTGGTGGACTAGTTAGTTCTGCACAGCAGAAGGGTGGCGGATCATCTGCATCTGAACAAAATGAATGAAAATCAGCTACAGCATATACGCTTGTGCGACCCCCGCGTCCCCCCCCACGTCACCTCCACCCACCGTCCCCACGACGGAGCTGATGGAGTGTGTGAAGCGTGCGACCTGTTTCCCCCTCCTGCTTCGCTGCTCGTCAACCACAGTTTCAAATCAGGGCCGCTCTCTTTTTTTCTTTCCTCTCTCTGTTTCTTCATTACGCCGAGAAAAGAAAGCAGGATGAATCTCAATCGAAGTAGAGACGAGGGGAGCAGCTTTTGAATCTCATCTATTTGGACCGTACACACACACACGCACACACACACACACACACACGCACACGCACACACACACAGACCACTTCGGCCTCCGTTTTCCAAGTTGGAATCTGAATGTTTAATCATTCCCAGCTCTTCGCTGAGACGATGCATGAATCTTTCACATCGTGGATGAAAGGAGGCTGATGGCTAAAAACAGGCAGATGGATACAAGTGAACCAACGTGGACTCACAGAACGAGACAAGGAAACAATCACACCGCTGAGTTTAGCAAACGCGTCCCAGTCGGGCTTAAAGCGGCTGCTGGCCTCATCTTTGCCTGAATTCTCGGTTTCTGCGGCTCCACAGATCAGATCTGCAGCTCTACTCTCTGTTAAAGAAAAAGAGTTTTGTTATTCGGCGTGACGTCGCCGTGAGCGATGTGCTCGCATCAGAAAAAAACAGCTGTCACCATATCACTCCGCGCCACTCGCACAAACAGCTGAGCCGGGTCCTGCTCACAACCACCTCCATCAATGCACTGAGAGCTCACATGTTGCAGGCGGGTGGAAAGCACGCATGCTCTCTATGTGCAAACATGTGGTCGTGCTTGTGTGCACGTACGCACCTGTACAAACACGCAACCACGAGATAAGTAACGTGCATTTATTTTGTGGGCTTAATGCACAAATATATTCCAGTCACTTGCACGCCTACTTACACACAACGTGCATGGACACACATTCACTTCGTCGCAGACACACACACACACGCACACAGTGGTGGCACCCACACACTCGATGTATTGTCCTCGGCGACATAATAGGACATATTGACCGAGTCTGCGCTGGGATATTAGTTTAGAGTGAATGGACAATGCATCTTCAGCACACACAAGGACACGCTGGTAAAGAGCCGTCCAACGAGGAGGAACCTCGGCACCTGGAAGAGGCCGCGGCTCCTTTCCACTTCAAACCTCTTATGGTAGTTCTTCTTTTTCCAACCAGCAGCTGAGTACAGTCAGACCAGAGATACTCCTCAGCACCTTTTCTACAGACGAGTCGAAGCAGCAACAGACGGACGCACACCACGAGAGAGAACGCTCTCACGAGCAATGAGGTACAGCTCGATATTTTATGTTTTTGCACATTCTTTGCCTCCATATCATCCACTTTATGCATGCAAACTCATCAGAGAGCAAACTCGTGACCATGTCATACATACGGAATAAAACCCGTCGACTGAACGAAAAGTTCTACGTCAACAGCCGAACGCGTCACTTCTATCCGACTTTTGTGTTCCTTTAATGACATTTCAGCCATCGCCTCCTCTCCCGGAGTTGGAGTTTGATGAAGAGAGACTGTCGCATTTGAAGCGATGCCTCCTTTAACTTATTTTTTAACTGCCACCAGGCGGAAAGTCCCATGAAAAGTTAAACGTGGGGATGAATCGACCGACGAACGAGACACTCGTTTGTCAGCGGTGGGAGAAAACGTCCTCCGTTACACGCGGGACACAGCGATCCGCACTTTGTCTCTGTCTCCTGTTAACGTCCACAGAGACGGGCGGCCTTTTGCCAATTCAATCCGTCTCGTCTCTCGGCTTTGACCTTTAGCCCGCCATCCTCTCTCTCTCTCTCTCTCTCTCCTCTGATCTCAGTGGGAAGCCCTGGAATAAACCGCCGGTTTCAATCAAGCCCATCCAGATTCACCATGTCTGTGGTCAGTGATCTGGACATCACACACACACACACACACACACACACACACACACACACACACACGGTACACAGCAATCCCACTGCCGCTTGGTAAGAGGTCAAGAGGTGAACGTCAGCGCGCGGCGCCGTTGTTGCTTTCACACATCCTTCTGACACTAATGAAGGGACAAATCGCATTTTAATCCTGAATGTGTGTGTGTGTGTGTGTGTGTGCGTGCACAAGCTTGCATACAAGTAAGTGTGTGTTCCTTTTCCTTTACTGTGTGTGTGTGACTCTCCCTCCTGGAGATCAATTAACTGATAGGTGTGCGTGGAGTCCAGCAGAGTGAACTGCACTGATAACACCCATAGACACAGTAAGAGAGAGGTGTCTCTCTCTGCACCCACAAACCACCCCACCCCCTCTCTTTATATTTTGTATGGGACCGCTGTTTGCATTTGGTCTTCGGGGGGGTGATGTTTATGCCAAATTCTCCCCCCATCATGCGTCGCTTCTGTTACCGTTGCTGTGGTTCATCCGTGGAAAAGCATCCTGGGAGGAAGTTTTTTCATCAGCCAACAAACGTGCAAACCAATCGAGACGCGCAGACTTCCTGAAAGGCTTAAACAGACGATGAATCGCTTTTACACATCAGAGCTCATCCCACTTCACAGAAATGCATTCAGAGGAAAAACTCATCCATGTTTCTCAACCAGAATGGGAGGAAGATGAGGAGGGAGGGAGGAAGATGCCATGTGCCGCTGCAGGGAGGCCGTAACGGGGGAATCAGCCACGCTCGGATTTTATTATCCACCCTGCGCACAATAGAACGCGCCGCTTTCTCGCGGTGCCGTATTTGCCGAGGCGAGGAGGTAATGGCTTGTCAACACCGCGGTTGCCATGGAGACAGCCGGGTTTCCATAGGCGCACTCTCTCTCTCTCTCTTTCCCGGTGACCCAGTTTGTGCCTGCTGCCGTGGCACCGGAGCCCTGCGAGAGCCCTCCACTCCTCCTCCGCCTCTCGCCTCGCCGTGGAATCCGGCCCGCGGGTGAGCTGCGAGGCGAGGACGCGTTCATGCTCATTGCTGACGGGGAAGTCGAGACCTCGGGGGCCACAACTTACTACAGGCCTTGTGTGAATTCTTTGTCGACATGTAGGGAAGGTGAGCTTGTAAATGTGTGGGGGAGAAAAAAAAAACACATTCAAAACTGAATCACTCCAGCAGAAAGAGATTTGCTTTGACTATTTATTCCCACTGCGCTTCATGTTCAAAGGTGATTTCCTCTTCTCGGCCCTCGAGGTCATTTCTTATATTTGAAAGCGACAGGAAAGATGGAAGAGGGCGAGCGTTGCGTTTAATGGGATGTCATTTGCAGCAAAACTCCTGCTGAATTCAAACTGAAGTAGATTCAATAGACAATGAAAATGTGAGACATAAACAAATGTACACAGACCAAACTGGCTGTTCCAAATTCAGTGTAATCGTGCTGGATTTCATACTTGTATATCATATGAATAAATGTATTTATGAAAGAAAGCAATGGATCAAATTAGTCTCTTCTTACCTTACTCTGGACGGCAAAACCACGAAGACTGGTTTTGAAAATGGACCTAAATACAATTCCGAGTTATTCACTAAATGAGGAGAAGCCTCGACACATTTTCGGAGACGTTCTGCTTCAACGCTTACACGCTGGATCAGACCGAGAGTGAAGAGACACGTTAAAGAGATGTTTTTCACCTCCCAAGTCCTTGAATGAAAGGCAGGCGTGAAATAGTAACTGCAGGCTATTGTGGCTTTCAATGCTCACGGGGCTCAAGTGTGATTACGCTGTTAGATTCTTTCTTTCCTCTCTTAGTTGAGTATTATTGCCTCAAAGAAATGCATCAACCCTGCAGCCTGCAGCAGCCTCAGGCCCGCCTGCAAACACCATTTGCATTTATGCAAAAACCAAAGGGGAAAATGAGAAGAGGGCTGTGGGACAGACTATTTCCTGGCAGGGAGCGGTGACCCCCTGGATTCTTGTCGTAAACGCGATGTTGCCAGACAACCGCGGAGAATTTAGGCCAAGAAACAGTTTAAATAGATTCCACGGCAAACGGTCGACTCAACACAAACACTGTTATTCAGAATATCTGCCATCGTCAGCAGAAAAAAGTGTCTCTGTAAAAAAAATAGGTTTCTTTTTCTTCTTCTTTTTTGGTATTCGGGGGAAATTCTTGACATGTTTTCGCCGAACCCGATGGTCAGTTTTACCAGAAATCAAAATGTGTCACTCCCTCTGACCTTCGATCGCACACACACACACACAATACAAACACACACACGCACAGCGGTCGCGGTGGAGTCGGTTTTGGCAGCAGAAACCACTGGACAGACGCTGTTTTCTGTGGGGGTTTTATATGCAATCTCCCTGCCTTTTCTTTTGTGTGGCCTTCTCGTGGTAGCAAGTAAAAGACAAAAACAACACGATTCAGATTGCATCTCCTTGAAATCAGATGTCCTTGCAGTAGGAACACAGGCGGTGACCTGCATGCAGACGGGTTCAGTGGGACACAGGACGCCCTCACCGGCGTAAGGCTGTTAGCTGTGTCTTTGATGGCGCTCCTTCATTACCGCCTGCGTCGCCGCGTGATCCGGTAACGCGACGCTCCCGTCACGTGAGGCAAATAACCAACACCAAAAAACGCAAAAAACAGCCCTCCACACTGAAGACTCGAGGTAAAAGACACACGGAAAGACAGAAAGACAGACGCTGCGGGCATCTTTCCTCTCACAGATGGCACGCAGGGCCTCCGGCTATCGCTGCCCGAGGGGCTCTTCCATTGTTCTTCTGCCTTTCAGTCCACTTTCCTTCACTCATTTCTTAGACAAGCACAGTGGATTCCAATCAGTCAACAAGTGGCAGTGTATGATTCACATGCGAATATGGACGGTTGAACACGTGGTAACCTGTAAACGCCGTCTACTGGTCGCAACGCAAATGGAGCGTGAGTTTGCTTTTCCCCGTCCTGCTGCAATGGTTTTTGCTTTGAGTAGCAGGGAACGGACTGTTAGCCGGTTACCTCCGTCCTTCGGCACAACAGCACATGGAAATAGAGGCGACAAGTGGAAATGGGATCGCAAATCAAGCGCGATACCCGGAGGAGATTGATAAGAGTAATGAAACTGAGACGGGTGTTCGGATGTGATTCGAATGATTCGGTCGATCAGCTGGCAGGTCCGTCATCGCAGCTCTTTCTCAGACGGTTGTTGCACACAGCCGAGAAATTTTAGCTGGAGTTGCAACGTCTCCTCCTAGAAGTCTAATTCATGTTCATCCAGCATTTGGCACTATCAGAGGTGCCGATCCTTCTGTGCGCTGATCCCGGACCCGTGTTGAAAACAGTACAACGGGGGGGGCTTTTTGTCCGCTGAAGCGTTGGGACACAAACAAGTGAAGAGAGTCACGAGCCGCGAGATGGTTTGATATCGAGCAGCTGCCTCGTTCACGAAACGCATTTGTCTCAAGAGCGTTTTGTCACTGAGCGTTTTGTCACTGAGCGTTTTCTGCTAAGTTCCAACACTCGTCGCAGAGGGAAAACAATTCTGCAGACCAGGAGGTGTTGCCTGAGACCACGTGGGTGAGGCGTCAGCGTGAAGGTTTTGAAGGGGTCTCGGCCCCCCTCTCTGTTTCATTGCTCCACTCAGCCTCCAAAATGTGGCCCTTCGGTGATTTGTCTGTAAATGTGATTGACTGACCTACTGCACTGCATTAATGTGGAGTTAAATGCCAAGTATAGGCCACTGTGTGTGTGTGTGTGTGTGTGTGTTTTTCTCTACTTTGTCCAAACTCCCTCAGCCTTGACTGACGCTGGCAGAGTCTTTCCCCTCCAGCTTTGAAAAACACATTCCATTTGAATGCAGCCGCCTCACACAAGGTCATTTGTCACTTGGTAATGACGAAGCGAATCCAAAAGCGTCTCACTGTCAGACGCGTGCATGTTTAGGAGGTGGGGGGGGGGGGGGTGGGCGGCGTCCTTGTGAGCTCGGAGGCTTGTTTGTAGATGTGAGCAGATACTCCAGTCGCACGGAGGCAGCGTGTACCGCGTGTGCGCTGAGAAAGCACATACACACACACACACACACACATGGCAATGTGTTAAAACCTGAATCTCTTTTGTCGCCCGGAGGGTTATGAGGCAGATGTGCACAGATGTGCACGACGTCTAACTTGCACCCACTTGGCAAACCAGTTTGCGTTGTTCTTTTTTTTTTTACATTACAGGTCATTTAGCAGACGCTTTCGCCCAAAGCGACTTTACACTTTAAACCCACGGCTTTTTCACATTTTTGTCCGGGGAGCAATTGGGGGTTGGGCGTCTTGCTCAGGGACACTTCGACTTGAGACACGGGGCAGCCGGGACTCAAACCACCAG